CCCCTCTCTCTGACTGAGGATCAGGATGTAGCTCTCAGTTACTGACCAGCAACATGTGTGTCGCCATGGTCCCTTCCATGATGCTAATGAACTAAGCCTCTGAAACTGTAAGCCAGCCCCAGTTAAATGCTCTCTTTTCTAAGGGTTTCCTTGACCATCTCTTGACAGCACTGGGAAAGTATTAACACTAAGTCCTTGCTAACTGAAGTACTGGGGGTGGGAACCTATAACCTGGCTTAACTTCTAACTCCAAGGGTGGCTGTCCAGGGCAGAGCCCGCCCGGTCTCCTTTCTTCGGGTCGTCTCAATCAGATGATGGGACTGAGCTGCAGGGTGTAGCATCTAGATTCTGAACGACTGAACTTGAGGGAGGGAGACAAAGGCTCGGAGAGATGGCTGCCTCAGTTAAGGTCATACAGACAGCATCTCATAGGCCGTCTATGTCTACAGACGCCTAGCTCTATGTTCCTCTGGCAGGCCCAGCGGCTCCTAGAACAAACCCCTCCCTGTCTGCTCATTTTCAGCTTCCTGGCTCCTGCTCCCCCCAGGCTCCCGAAAAGACAGAAGAGGAATTGAAGAGGAATTGAAGGCGGGATCAATAGCCCTTTCCTATGCGAAAAGAGCCCCAGGGGCACTGGGTCTAGCCCTGGCTTTCCAGGGACAGAAAGATGAGCAGCCCCAGAAACTGGATCTCTCCAGAGCCAGGACCAGGCTGGGAAGGCAGGGCTGACCACACTGTGGTTTGGGTCACTGGCAATGCAGCCGGGTATACTGTCCCCAGCAAGGAGAGTCTGGAAGACCATGCTTAGCTCAGGGACCAAGGCTCTGAGCACACAGAGCAGGTTCCCTCAGAATCACCTTATTAGAATATGTGAAGGGGTCAAACGAGGAGACAGCTTTGGGGTGGTGGGCACGTTCTTCCTCTTAGAACCGGGGACCCTCCTCAGATGGTGAAGCCTCTAGTCCCTAGGCTTCCTCTAGGCCAAGGCAGAGTGTCATCGCTTCCCCTGCGCACTGTTTGGCCCACTGGTCTACTTACCCGACTGGGAGGGGCAGGGAGGACCTAAGGGAAGTAACTGTGTGGGAAGTCCCTGCTGGCTGCTTAGGGAAGATGGGGCAGGAGGCTAGGAATCTAGGACCCCTTTCTGGCCTTGCTGATATTCAGGTCTCTCCCTATCTTAGACTGTTAAATATATCACACCTGAAATACTGAAAAGAAAAAAAAAAAAAAAAACAAGACAGAAAACTACACAAACTGAACAACAATCGACTCTACAGACATCCATTGTTTTTGTCTGGTTTTCTCATGGCATTAGGGGTGGACTTTGGGCTCTATACACACTAAGGAAGAAGTCTTATCCTCAGCAGACGTACCAAAGTCACCATTGTCTTCTCCTTTAGTGTGTGTGTGTGCTTGCACACACACCTTTGCTGAACCATTTGAAAATAACTTACAAACATGTTCCCTTAAATATTTTGCATAAGGCCAGGTGGTGGTGGCGGCGGCGGCGGCGGCGGCTGCTGCGCACGCCTTTAATCCCAACTCGGGAGGCAGAGCCAGGCAGATCTCTGTGAGTTCAAGGCCAGCCTGGTCTACAGAGCGAGATCCAGGAAAGGCGCAAAGCTACACAGAGAAACCCTGTCTCGAAACCATGAAAAAAAATTGCATAAAAGGATACTACCGCATAAAACCATATTACCACTTTAAAAATCTAAAAAAATATAATTACATATTACCTAATATCTAGACTAAAATATTCCCAATTGTCCCAGGATGTCTATTGCAATATACAATCCCCACCCTATGCAATTAAAAGTTATACATTGGAATTGGAGAGATGGCTCAGTGGTTAAGAGCACTGGTTGCTCTTGCAGAGGACCAAGTTTGACTCCCAGTGCCCACACAGTGGCTTACAGCTGCCTGTAACCCCTGTTCTAGGGGATCTGATACCCTCTTCTGACCTCCACAGGGACCAGGCATACACGAGACTAGCAGACATGCACGCAAAGCAAAACGTTCCTCTACTTAAAGGAAATAGAGATATAAAATTAATTTTTAAAATGTATACATTGGGCCAGTGAGATGCTCATTAGGGAAGGGTACTTGCCACCGAGCCTGATGGCCCGAGTCTGATCCCTGGTGCCCACATGACATAAGGAGAGAAACAATTCCCACGATGTCTGACTTCCACACACATGCCAAAAATGCACTCTTGAGAACACACATACACACAGATACCAAGGCTTTAAAAAATTAGGGAAAAAAAAGATCAAAATTCATATATTGTACATGGATAGACTGTCTCTTGTATTTCTCCCATGTTCTTATTTTAAAAGATTTGTGTTTTATTCATGAGTGCAACATACATAAGAGTCTCCCCAGAGGCCAGAAGGTGTTATGCATCCTGGAACTGAAGTTACAGGAGGCTGTACGCCATCGGATGTTGGTGTTGGGAACTGAACCTGGGTTCTTTACTGGAGCAGGGAGCAGAAAGTCTTCTTAATCAATCACCTGCCTCTCCAGCTCTTCTTTTGTTTCTTTTAATCTACGCTGGGTTCCACCTCCAGCCTTTTGTAGCAACAGCGTTCTTTTCATTCACTGACACACTTTGTGTGTGGGCGTGCACATGTGGAAGTCTGGGTCAACTTCAAGCAGTGGTTCTCTTCTCCCACCCCGTGTGCCCCAGAGACTGACTCCAGTCCCCAGCTTGGGTGGCAGGCACCCACTCCTTCCCCCCCGGACAGTTTGTCAGCCCCCCCCACCACCACCAACTTTTGTTTTTGTGACATTCTTTTTTTTTGAAGTGTCTTAGCTGCCCATTAGCATGACCCCCACCTTAGATGTTCCTGTCACCTCTTTGAAACTAGATCTGGCTAAGCAGTTTCGACTAGACCACAGACTGTGGTTGGAATTCCTACTGCAAGGCTCAGGGAAGATTTCCTGTCTGGGGGTTGAGCATGCTTGATTACTTATTAAGGTGACAAGTGCACGCTTAGGTGAAGAGCATCTGTGAGGTGAGCTGTTGTGCCACGGACTGAATGCTCCTGTGGCCCCAAATTCATAGAAGTTAAATCCTCAAAAGCGACGGCACGCGACATCGGAGGGCAGGAGCCTGGCGAATAGGGTTAGTGTCTTCTGAAGAGACACAAGCGAGCTCCGTGGTCTCTGTCTCGCCCCATCTCCTGGATACATGGAGAAAATGGCCTAATCAGGAAGTGGCCCTCACCTGCCTCCCTGCCTCCTGGTTTGCCGGTGTCTGGCCTTAGACCTTCAGAACTGTGAAAAAGCCATTTCTGTTGGGCCAGTCACTCTGCAATGCATGCTGGGACCAACCTTTTATCTAATAGTGCTCCCTCCTCCCCGCTCAATGATTTTATCAACTGCTAATGACCTCAGCCTGAATCAGCTTATTGTTGGGGATTCTCTGAAGGAAAAGGCAGGTTGGGAGATATTGGCCAAGAGATAAAAAGTTTCAGTGAGAAGGAATAAGACTTTGTGATCTGTTGTTGAGTGTAGAGACTACAGTTAATTATAAAACATATTTCAAAACTGCTAAGAGAATAGACTTTAAGTGCTCATACCACAACATTGAAAAGATAAATATGTGGTCCTGGATATGTTAGTCATCTTAATTTACTTATTTCATAATATATATCAAGATATCACAATGTTTATTCCATATATGATTATTTTTCAAATAAAAATCAAACTTAAGGGCAGGTATGGTGGCACATACTTGTAATCCCAGCACTCAGAAGGCAGAGGCAGGTGAATCTCTGTGAGTTTGAGGTCTACATTAGTGAGATCCAAACTAGCCAGGGCTACAAAGTAAGACCTTATCACAAAATAAAATTAAATTAAAAATAAAAATTTAAACAATTTTGAGTTAGAACCTCACGATATAGCCCAGCCTGGCTATGAACTCACCACCTCTGGTGGTTTGAATAGGAATGGCCCCCAAAGACTCATGTGTTTGAATGCTTGGCCACTAGAGAGTGGCACTATTAGGAGGTGTGGCCTTGTTGGAGGAAGTGTGTCACTGAGGGGTTTTGAGGTTTCAGAAGCTCAAGCCAGGCTCACTCTCTCTTCCTGCTTCCTGCAGATCCAGATGTAGAACTCTCAGCTCCTTCTCCAGCACCCATGTCTGCCTGCATACTGCCATGATGATAAAGGACTAAACTCTGAGCAGCAAGCCAGCCCCAATGAAATGTGTTCCTTTATAAGAGTTGTCGTGGTCATGGTGTCTCTTCACAGCAACAGAAACCTTCACTAAGACACCACCCTATAGTGTAGTGAGTAACTGAGGTTGCAGGCATCTGCCACCAGGCCCAGCTAAATAAATAAACATGCTTATTTAAATAAGCCTATCTGCTGTGCCATAAAAGGCTGAACCAAGGCTTGGTAGGTCCTAGGCAAGTGATCTACCATTAAGCTAAATTCTAAGCAATTTTTTTTTAAGATTTTTTTTTTTTTTTTTGAGACAGGGTTTCTCTGCGTAGCTTTGCGCCTTTCCTGGAGCTCACTTGGTAGCCCAGGCTGGCCTCGAACTCACAGAGATCCGCCTGGCTCTGCCTCCCGAGTGCTGGGATTAAAGGCGTGCGCCACCACCGCCCGGCTATTTTTTTAAGATTTTTATTTTGAGACAAGGCCTTTCTAAGTTATCAGTCAGGCCTTGAACTTGTGATCCTCCTGCCTCAGTCTCCCTGGCAGTCGCCAGGCTAGGCCAAATTGAAATGTAAAGAGTTCCGACATGTCTGCTGCATCTGGTTAGCGGGCATTTCTGTGAAGGGGTTCCCCCTTGTCAGCGGGCATTTCTGTGAAGGGGTTCCCCCTTCCGGCTCTTCCCTGCCCCTTCTGCTGTTAGACTGGACTCGTGAAGTCCCTTTTATCGCACGGGCTGCTTCTCTGATTGGTTTCTTGGTGTCTCACATCACTGCAAAGGCCCCGTATGCAGTCTCCTGTGTTCTTTGTCATGAGTGTGCCCCAGCTTCCCGCCACAACACAGTTCACTGTCCTTGGCCACTCTCAGACCTGACAACAGCCAAGTGATGCTGGCGTCTAACAGGGGACATGGTACCCAGAAATAAAAATCCAGGGGCTGACAGGATGGCTCAGCAGGTAAAGGCACTTGCTGTGCCAGACTGGCAAACTGAATCCTATCCTTGGGCTCCATGAAGTTGTTCTCTGACCACCCCCTCACACATGAACCCTCTCCCCATACATCTCGTACACACACACACACACACACACACACACACACACACACACACACGCACGCAATAAAAATGAATGAATAAATAAAAATCCGGCACTGGATGTAGCTTCGCTTCTAAATGCCTTTGGTGGACAGATCAACAAAATAGACGAAGAAGCAAAGAACCCAGTGCTTCCCCACCTTCTCCATCCATGCTCTTCTCTGTTCCATACTCAGACCCCGACCTTAGACATCTAAGTTCCAAGCACAGATACGCACCCCACACGCCCTCTACCAGCAGAATGGTTTTCTGTTCGGGACACCGAGATCGTGACTCACAGCATACCTATGAAGCACAGTCCGAAGTTTCTCTCAATTCTTAGACTATATATTCCACCAAGAATACAGAGTCAGAGCATTGACACTGAAAAGCAAATTAATTAGCCGGATGTAGTGGCACATGGGCTACAACTCCAGGACTCCTGAGGACAAGGCAGAAGTTTAAAACCGGTCTAAACTTGTCTCAAAAAAAAAAAAAAAGCCCTTAAAGTTTTTACTTAATCCTTTGTAATGAAATTGTTACTCCATTAGTCAGTTTTTCTATTGTAGTCAGATTTAGGGTTTTTTTTTTTTTTTTGCACCTAATTTAATTGTTGAAATAAGTATTTTAATCAAAACTGTCGGAAAAAGCATCACCAAAAATGCCTCACTTCCTGTCACCTCATCGGCCTCCTATAGGGAACCATTTTCTTATTTTGAATTTATTATTTGTGTGTGTATGCACATAGGCAAGTATGTGCACATGCACCTCTCTCTCTCTCTCTCTCTGGTATTTTGAGACAGGGTTTCTCTGTGTAGCCCCGGCTGCCCTAGAACTTGCCTGTAGATCCTCCTGCCCCTGCCTCCCCAGTGCTGGGATTAGAGGCGTGCACCACCACGCCCAACTCACCTTTCTCTTTTTTGAGACAAGGTTTTGCTGTGCACTGTGGACTGGCCTCTCATTCACAGTACTTCTCCTGCCTCAGCCTCCCAAGTGCTGGGATTATAGGTATACACCATCATACCCAGCGTTGGCTGTGCCCTTCAGGATGGGCAGCAGGACAATTCGCAATGGTTTCTACTACAAATACACCTTGACTTGCCTTAGGCACGCATGTTTATTTGTGGGTACGCATCTTTGGGGTAATGACTCAAGCTGCTGTGTAAATGTGTATGCGGCATCTTCCCTCTGGGGGCTGTACTACTTTGTCCTCCTGACACTGGTTCTACAAACTAATGGACCTCACTGTAGCCCCTTGAGCTGAGCTTCTTTGAACCCAGGCAGAGTCCCAGACACGTCTAGCAGTCAGTACACCACCTCAGCGCCAGTGCCCACCCTAAGTGATGGCAGGAAGGCGGAGAGAAGGTGGCTTGCTGATGCCCTGCCAGTTCATTTTCCCATATCGTTGGGATTTGTGTATGAAACGTGGTGAGCCAGGAGAAGAGGGCCGGGGCTGACATGACAGGCTGAGAGAGGGCGGACTGAGAGCAGTGGCCGAGAGCTGGGGACCCAGTTCCTGGGGGCCTATGTCCTCCTCCCCTTTCCTCTCCTTTCCCTTCTCTCCCCACTCCATACTCAACAACGGACACTTCTCTGACCAGGAGCCGTCGCTCTGACTCTAACTAGTTCCTTCCTGGCTTCTCTCTTCCTTGGTTCCCACCGAGTGTACGTGGGCTGAAGTCACTTAAGGAGGAGGCAGAAGAGAGTCCTCGTCATTTCTTTTGGAACATGTTTGAAGAAAATAGATCAGTGGGACGAGAGCGGCTCATCCCAGGGAAAGAGGTGACAGAGATGCTGGGAGAGGAAGCAGAGTGTAAAACTCTCCACACAACCCCCTTGGACTCTAGGGCACACTCACGTCTATGACCTACAGAAAGGGGAAATGATACAGTCATTATGGAAAACATTGTCAGGTTCATCAAAACAGTAAAAAATAGAGCTGGAGTGTCCAGTGGCTGAGCACTTGCCTGGCAAGCAAGAGGTTCTAGGCTTGATTCCCAGCACCCTACAAACAAACAGAATTAAAAACAGAACTGCCATATGATCCAGCCATGCCACTGCTGGGTATATATGTAGAGGGAATAGAATCAACATAAAGAAGAGACATCTGCCTGCTCTGTCTATGGCAGCAGCACTATTCAAAATAGTGAAGAAATCAAAACAACCAAAGTAGCCATCAGCTGATGGACTGGTAAAGAAAATGTTATCAGCCATGAGCAGAATGGTAACCTGTCATGTGCAACAATACAGAAGGAGCTGGAGGGCACTATGCTAAGTGAAACTAGCCAGCCACAGCAAGACAAATAGCAGATGACCTCATGCGGGATCTGGAAAAGCTGATTGGTTGCCAGGCTGGGGAGGAGGGATGAAGACAGGATGATGGACACCACCTAGCTGGAGTTGAGAGGAGTAATAAATTCTGTTGTGCTATGATATGACTGGAGAAAGTGATAGCATGCTGTTCACGCCAATCTGCAAGGAAACACCTTTGAATTTTTTTTTAACCACAAGGAAATGATAAATGTTTGAGATCTGAATTGAACATTATATAGTATGTACATATATCAAAACATGGCATCTATAAATACATACTCTGTGCCAACTGAAAACAATGAGTATATTATCTATTTCCCAGAGAGAAAAAAGTGGAGAAATGCTCTTAGCCCAGTTAGATTGTATCTAGAGGGTGCCTGCCCCACCCTATCTTCCTCACCCCTCCCTCCCTCCTGGCATTAGGGATGGAGAGAATCAAAGCCCTCCGGGGTGCAGGCAGTGGGCTGGGTGGGCAGGAGTTACCTGTAGGGAAGGAACACAGATGGCCTGCCAGATATCCCTCCAAGGAAGGGCAGGCTCAGGGTGGCGCATTACCTGTAAGGTAACTGTCAAATATGCTTCTTGGGACCCTAGGCACCTCCAAATAAACATACTCCTCATCTCCTTCAGAAGTTTGGTGGATCTTAATGTGGGTGCTGGGCCAGTGGCCCAGAGCACTGAATAAAGAGCAAAGGGCCACGGGTACCGAGAGAAGTCAACTTAATAGTCTCGGGTGGCAGCTGGAGCAGCTGATAGGTGGGGGCAGGGCAGCTCCAGTCCCCTCCCTCTCCAGATCTTCCAGAAAGTGAGAGTGGGATGTAAGGCTCCCTGGCATTCCCGCTCAGCGACCTTCATTCGCACATACCACCTTACTTACGCAGATTCTGTTTAGTTTTCAGTTTGCCCCCTCCCCCACCCATAGTACCCTCATTTTGATTCTCTTCTGACATCAAAGACCACAGCAATGTGACAAATCTGACTCAGCCACTCCCTCCCACCGTTTCTGTGGTGAGCCCGCTTCCCAGAGCAAGGAGAAGCTAAAGAACGGAGGGTAAATTAGGGGCCCCTTCCTGCACCTCCCCATGCAATGGATTCTCAGGTGCAATTGCTCCACCCCTTGGGACGAGCAAGGCGGATCTGTGGGGTAAGGACTCCTGTCTTGAAGCCTCTGATGAGTTTGCTCTCCATGGACCCACATGGTGGAAAAAGAGAACACATTGTCCTCTGACCTCCAGATGTTGTCCCCCAATAAATATTTTTTTTTTAAATTTAAATTGCCCGGTTCTTCCCGTGTAAGTGTTGACAGAGTGCCTCTATTTGTCCCGGCTGTGCTAGAAGCCGGGAATCCGAGGGACGAGGCAAGCTAAGCCCCTTCAACTTGACCTTGGATCCAAGGATCCAGGGACACAGAGATGGGAAACAGGAGGGTAAGGGACTGAGGCACCGGCAGGGGCCGGAAGGCTGGAAGCCTCTGCTCCCTCTAAGCCATGTCTCCTCTGAGTACTCAGACTAGAGCAAAGCCAGCCAGGAGGGTGGAGCCGGGCTGCTGAGAGGCTGGCGGCAGGGCAGGTCACAGAGGCTGCTAGATGGGAGGGGGTCTAGATTCTACTGCAGTATTCCCAGCCCTGCGGGTCTCACAGCTGGGAGAGGTGGGGGCACAGCTGGCTGAAAAGCAGTCTCCCCAGCTGCCCAAGACCCAGCCAGGACTCAGGGCCATTAGAGCAAGGCACCCTAGTGCGTGCTAAGCCGGCACCTCACAAAGCAGCCATCCTTAATCTACCAGTATCTGCTCCCGGGATTCCCTGCTCCCCTTCTTGTAGAAGAAAAGCATCAGTTCTTCTTGTGGTCGGTCAGACCACAGGTAGGGTAGAGTGCTGAGGGGCACAAGCCTGATCCATCACCAAACACCTCCAAAGGAAAGCTCGAGCTGGCTGGCGGCTTGCCCGGCTACCTTTTAAACTATTTCTTTCCTAGGGTCTCAATCGAGGCTTTCCTCATAGCCTCGGAAGATAACTTAGCTAGCCTGCCCACATCATAGGGTCCTCTTTTGAGATTCTCCTCTCCCTTAGCCCTCTTTCCATGATGATCCCAGCCTGGAATAACCCAGAGTAAGGGGGCTACAGACAAGGGGGAAGAGCCAGAAACAGGGGGGTGCTCATATGGGTGGGTAGGGGTGTTAAGCATGGAGGGAGTGGATCTGAAGACTCCTTGCCAGACCCTGAACTGGAGGAGAAGATGGCCTGCGGATTGGGAATTTGTTTGCCCCCCCCCTCCTTCCCTCTCTCAGCATCACAGCAGCTGCTGATTTCTTCACCTGACACCCCAACTACCCAGCCTGGCCAGCGCAGGCCGGCATCAGGTCTGGAGGGGATTGCCAGTCCTGCAGGAGTAACCAGGAAGGAGATGCCTCCGGTCAGGGCGGGCGTGCTCTATCTGCTCCCAGGATTTTTTGGGCCCCTCCTCCCATCCCCCCACCCCCGAGCTGGAAAGAAGTAGGCACTCTTCTAGAGGTGGACCAGAGCAGAAGTCTGGACTCATCTCAGGGAAAGATACCAGCCACCACCCCACTACCAAAACAAGGAGAGAAGAAAAAGAGGGGGGGCAATCCCAGCCTTAGTGTCTCTCACTTACGGAGATCTGTTCAGGGACCCTCCTCAAGATGCCAGAGGCCCAAGCCAGCCAGCCCCACAGCCTGGGGCTTGAAACTGCAAACTTTTCAGTGGGCCCCTTCTCCTTCCTTCCCTGCAGAAGCAGGGATGCGTGGGGCGGTGCCCTCAGAGACACTCATACAGTTGGTTCTGGACGCTTACACTCACTCAAACAACAGCAGTGAGAGGGAACTCCCAGCTTTTTCCACAGCTAATTATAGACGTCAAAGTCTGAGGATGTTTTGTAAGCCGCAGAGAGAAACTGCTGAGGTTTCTGTGCAAAGCCAGAGAAATGTAATTTGTGCACTCCGGGTCTCACCCTCCAACTTCTCCTAGCCTATCTCCACCTCACACCCCCAGTGTGCCCCCTCCTTGGCTCTGAGGCCTTCCTTCCCGCTGAAGATTTATTTGGTTCTATTTTTCCCATCTCTCTTTGGGGCTTTCGAGAAAGGGAACAGACGCGGAAAATATTTTTTTCCGCAACAGTTTTCCATTCTGCAGCTGGTTCCCAAGCCAAGGGGGAGGGGGGAGAGCAGGAGCGGATGGGGGTCGGCTGGAATAAATACTTGTTCCAAGAGCTTAATTTGGGTGAGAAAAAGGCAGTCCCTCCATTTCCCCACCCATCCCAGGATCCAGAGAAAAACGCAAAGAAATCACTTGTTTGATTATGTGATTCTTCAGAACCCAGGGAAGAAACAGAGTGTTGAAGAAATCATTCTCATTTTCTCCCCCCACCTCTCTCTCCTATTCCACCACCCCACCCTCCCAGAATTTGCGAGCAGGAGGAAATTCGGGTACTTTGAGAAGCCATGGAGAGGAAAGAAAGAAACAAAGTTTGCAAATCCCGGAGTCAATTCATTCTCTGCAAACCTACCTCTCTTTCTAGCAAAGATTCAGGTGTCTCCAAGCGGGACTCTCCCTCCGCGTTTCCATGGACCGAGGAGGGTGGGGTGACCACCCACCGCTCTCCCCAGAGTGGCAAACCACCTAGTGATGCCGGCTTGGAGCTACAGCTTGGAGCTACAGCTGGGGGAGTGGGCAGGGTCTTCTTCCCCAGCCCTTCCACGCGAAGGACCTTCCTGGAAGAAAATGGGTGCAGGGAGCTGGGCGGGTGTCCGACCTCGCCGTCTTCGGAGGGATGGTCCCCCAGGAAGTTCGTGCCCCCACCCCACCCCCAGCCTAGGACGGTCTCAACAGCGGAGCTGCCTTAAGAAAATGCTTGTCATGGCAACAGCTCCAGCCAACTCCGGCCAGACTGGGGCTCCCCAGCTCTCCCCCAGCAGAGCGGGAGGAGAAAGGGGCGGAGCGCGAGCCGGCGGGGGTGGGGCTTGGCGGGAGGCCAAAGCATTGCTCAGCTCTTAAGGTGGCCCGAGTGCAAGACGCGGCGGGATGATGCTCCTTGGTCGGTCTTAAGGCGGAATGGGGGAGGCTAGGGGGAATCCTCTGCCCTCTTGGCTTTCCCCCAGCTCTGGTTCTTACTTGTTGAAAGGAGAGCAGAGCAAGGGTGGGTATGGGTGGAGGTGGGAGTGGATGTGGGCAGCGGTCTTCAACCGTTGCTGTGTGGAGGGGAAATAAAGGAAGCGTCTGCAAGCCTTTCTGCTTCCTGCTGCTCCTCCAGACCTCTCAATCTCATGCTGATTTACACTCAGGACCAAGAAACCTCAGGAGGCTCTGGGCACCTAGTGACCCCGTCTGAACTGGGGGTTCACCGGCAAAGAAGAAGCAATTGCTCAGGGTGCCCATACACATATGTGCCCCCTCACCCTTCAGGCGCAGGCCACATCTTGTTCTCTCTTGCTTGTGCATCCAACCAAAGGCATGTCCACGGGGCACAGAACGGCTGCTTGCCTGTGTGTGGGCTGTACACCCAAGCCTTTGCATCTACGATATCGCTTCTAGCCCTACTGGCAGTCTCAAAAGGTACTCATTACTGTCTTTGTTTCACGGTTGAGGAAATTAAAGATTGAGTGACTTGCTCAAGGTTACTGGTTGTCTGGTTAATGACAGCCAGGATTCAAGGGCAAGCCAGACCCATCCCAGAGCCTGTGTGCTTTTCTACCCCTGTGTCATACGGTGCCACACATTTCCATTCTAGACTGTACGCACGGAGACACCCGTACACACTTAGACACAGCCTATAAACTGTTAATCACACCCCCGTGCCACACACCCACCAGCATTGTGCAACAGTGCCACCCATAGCTTTCGCATGGAACCTTACGGCTTTCAAGTACAAACATGCACCATCAGCTGGCTCACACAACATGTCTTCATTGACTGATACATTCCCACACCTTCCTCAGCACGCATACTCGCTCACGTCGATATGCTCCTGGGAGGCAGGCTAGTGTAACTTCACAGGTTATCATAAACTGTATCCTGGGAAGAAGGGGATTATCACAGTTTCCCCCACCTATTTAACAGAGCTTCAAAAATACTCCCATACCTAGCCAGGCGTGGCGGGGTACACCTGTAATCCTAGCAGTCAGAAGGCTGAGGCCGGAGGACGGTTAGGAGTTTGAAGCCAATCTGGGCTACACAGTGAGAGCCAGGCCAGCTATAACTACACTGCCAACAAGAGCCTGTCTCCAACAAATGAACAGATAAACCCCAAACGAACTCCATACCTCACGTCATTACCTGTGCTTCTTGGTCCCTTTCTGCCCCGGGATGCAGAGGCTTGTGTGCAGAAGAAACGAAGTCTTGAAGAAGACCAAGATCCCTTCCCTACTTCCTATCATTTAGTCCTTCCTTTTTTACTTCCTAATTCCATCGATTCCTTTTTGTTTGCTTTGTGTTTTTGGGGACAGAGTCTCATGAATTCCAGGCTGGACTCAAACTCACGAAGTAGCTGAGGCTGGCCTTCAGCCTCCTATCCCTACTGCCTGTTGCCGGGATCATATGCACGTACGACCACTCCTAACATATTTCACCTTTTCTCAATAACTCATCTACATCCTATTTATGAGGTAGGGAGAAGTAAAACCAGCAAAAGTAAAGGAATTATTTAGAGTAGCTGGGCTCAGAACCCGGGAGTTTCCTCTTTGTAGAAGAGATCACCTGCCACCTGTCTAACGTGGAAACAAGATCCATAATCAGCCGGTGCCCATGCTGGCACCTTTCCTCCTGAGACCCACCCAGTTGCAAAGTAAGGGGAGAATCGAGAATCATCCTCTGCTGAAAGAAACCAAGAATTATTTCCTAGACAGTTCTTCCTGGGGTTCTAGCTCTCACACTTGAGGCACTTAGAAGACACCAAAGGTGACATCACTCTCCTCTGTCCCCAGACCTCCAGCTCCTCTGGTCTCCCTCCCATGCCTAGGCAATTCACTGAAAGACAGAGGGTATCTTATTAGATGTGGTAGGTCCTACCAAAACGTCAACTGCAGAAGCCCACATTAGTTGTTGGGGAGGACGTGGGAAAGGAAGGGAGAGGAGTCAGCTGGCCAGAGCCTCAGAGTTAATAGCTTGTCAGGGCTCCCTGCCGGATGGCAACAGTTTGACATTTCAGTGTCCAAGCGAGTGGCAGTTGCATCTTTATCATGAGGAAGCCCGTCTCTGAAATGGCTCTTTAAACATATGAAAGCATATTTTCAGCTTTCAGCAGCAGCAGTAGGTGGAGGAGGTATTGCCTAACTGTTTGGTAAACGTGTCACGGGGGGAATAACAGTTTAGACCTAGGTGTGGTCCTAGTAAAGGAGAAGTGTACTTTGGCTGTGTCTGGCCTATGGGGGGCTATGGATGATGCCTGGTCATAGGTGGCTAGTACGAAAAAAAAAGCAAGATCCTCTCCTAAAGGTTTCTGGTTTGTATGGAGACAGGCTGTGGGCATGGTGGAAGAGATGCTGTTAGGGAAGGAGACTCTGCTGTCCCCACCCCAGGCTGGCGGGCCAGGGTGCTGATGTCAACAGCGGCTGTAGGTCCTTCTCTTGAAGCAGGGCTCTCCTGGCTAGGCTTGTGGGCTGAGAGAAAAGGAGCCCACCTCTTCCTCTCCTTCTCACTTCTTTTCCAGTTGACCCTGGGAAGCCCCAGCCTGAATTCTGTGGCTGACCCAGCCACTGGAGCCTGAGTTCTGTGGCTGACCCAGGTACTGTGGCCTGAGTTCTGTGGCTGACCCAG